TGAAAGGAATTTGAGGGCATCCTGCTCCTTTATTTGCAGGACATCAAGGGCTCTGGACGCTGTGAAAGTTTTCAGTGAAGTTATTATGGGAACCCAGAAAGGAGGCCTATACGACTCTGCCCAAATAGCGCAGAAATCTCACCTCTTCTAATTTGTAAATCAGAAGACACTTTTTTTTTTTTTTTTTTTTTTTTTTTTTTGAGAGACAGAGAGAGTGGCAGAGGGGGAGCTAGGGGCAGAGACAGAGAGAATCCAAGGAGGGGAAGAAAGTGAGAAAGAGAGAGAGAAGCAGGAAAGCAGGACTCACCAAAGTGGTGCACGAGCTCACCTGCAGCTGGGCTCATGTTGGCCTGAGGCGGAGCCTCAAACTCAAGAACACTGAGATCACGACCTGAACCGAAGTCAGATGCTTAATGACTGAGCCGCCTGGGCGCCCCAGAAGACACTTTCTGTAACAATTTACAAAGATGCTTTTTACAGATATTATGATTTTGACCACCAGATGCGCTCAGTGTTTACACACACATAGTAACTTTATATTGGAAGGCCTTGTTAGTAAAATCACAGATAGTGCCCATTTTAAAGGGCTGGCTTTAAATCTGGGAAATATCTCTGTTTCTCCATTTCCTAAACTGTTAAATGGGAATATTACCTACCATTCATGGGGTTTTTGTAAAAATTTTAAAATGGTAAACTGTTAGGTACTAGGAACAGGGTCGGACATACAGTAAGTACTCAATAAATACGAGATGTTATCACGTGTCTACTACATATGAATATCGGTAACAGCAAGGTATCTTGTAGGGAAGAATAAAACTACATCTGGCTTTCTAAACAAGCAAGAAGAGATACTGCTTTTAAGTGTATTTTTCTTAGCAGCTTGCGGATAGCAATAGCTGTTATGGAGCTCATACTCAGGGTCTGTGCTGGTTTCAAAGAAAGCTCACCATGTGTTGGGAGCTTGGCAGATGACTCAGTTCTGATTCCTTTTATGTTCACTTTCTCTCATTTTTCTTCTAAAATGCACAAGCGGCATAGCATCCATTTCTCTCCCTCTCTCCCTTTCTTCTTCCCCCCCCACCTTCACACATTCCCTTTACTTCAGCACACACACGCACACACACACACACACACACACACACACACACTCTTCCACACTAGTTTCGTTTTATTTATTTTGTAACCCCCAAAGGATTCACGGAGCAGGCTGTGTGCAGCTGCCGTGTTTTCTACTGGTTAAATTGGCAGTTACCTACTGTGTGGAGTTGCTAGGAGAAGGTGAATAAGCATGATTACAGCATCATTGATGTACATAGTCTTTCAATAACAACCTGTGGAGCTCCGTGGTCTGTCTTCTGCATGGCTCTATGTGTTATTTTCTCATTGTTGCCATTAATTTTTATTGCGTTTGTTGTTAGGGCATGATATATCTTTAACTGTTGGTTCCAGATCAATGAATAGACAAAAACCTTGGCATTTAAAACAGGCACTTTTTTCTCAGGGTGGTGCTGCTGACACTGGTTCCTACCATCTGCTTTCTTATTACATCCTGCCCTCTTTCTATTGGTAGAGAGGAATTCAGCTTCTTCTGGTGCGCTAAAGTCATTCACGTTTCTCTTGTGCATAATAGATCTCGTAAACTGTAGGAATTCTGATGTGCTTCAGTGCACCGAACGGTAACAGATGAGCTGCTTTTGGGGAGAGCTGGAGCACTCAGTCGGTCAGTAGTACAGTAGCAGGCTCACATGTGCGGATTGCTCCTGTGAGGTCAGAGGATCTGTTTATACTGCTGTCTGCTTGGGAGGTTGGGTGATGTGAGCAGTGGATATGCCTGTCAAAGTCAGTAGCAATTCTGGCAGAGGCTGCCCTCAGCTTTGTAAATCTGCAGTATTTTGATAGATGAGAGATGCTACTGTGTAACTGTTTGAGATTTGTAGTGGTCTGAGGAATGCTTGTTCTAGCTGCTGAAACTGACTGTAACTATATTGCCCTAGGAATATCATCATGGGGTCTACTGCTACAGAAATTGAAGAATTGGAAAACACCCCTCTTAAGTATCTGATAGGAGAACACACTGAAAAAATGTGGCAACGCCTGAAAGGAATGTGAGTAAGCTCTTTGCTTGGTTCTGTGTTTTTATTCCCACCACCCCACCCAAAACTTGACTATTAATATGACTAATTGTTCGTAATATCTGACTTTGTGGACTAGTGTTTCCTTTAGAAAGATTTTCTCTTAAAAAATAAAATGTGTGAGTGTCAGCTAACAACTTGCCTGAAGGATAGATAGTCTTTTTTGCACCTGTATGTGTAATATAAAGTAAGGTAACTCCCTGAGAATTCACTTGACTGTTACAACACATGGTTTCTTTTATACATTCTGTATATATTCTTTAGATATGTGGTTTAGATATGCAGAAAAGTAACTAGAAAAGCTGCTTGCCAGGATACTTGCAGAAGTAAAATTTCCTTCAGTAAAATAAAAAAGATTACTACTGATACTTATTTCTCTGTGATTAGATTTTGAAAACACAAGGGCAGGATTAATGTGATAATAAATACTTATATTCCACTGTGCTTCTTCTTTGTCTTAATTAATAATGTTTGCTTAAGAAAAAATGTGGTAAAAACACTAGTAGCATACCAAACTTATTGGAGAGTTTTGGCTTTAAATTAACCAATTCACTTCTTCTGAGAACACACAGTAGCTCATGGTATAAAATAGACCTTACTAACTTGGGCTAAGAGATGTGCTTATGTCAAACATGAAATGTAAGTACCTGGGTCAAACTTTAATTGCATTGCTATTCACCTTGCTATTTAAACAAGATTTAAGTTTTTTTCTGTCTATGCTACTAATTTCTGTTCATCTGTTCCAGCACCCTATGTATACATGCTTTATTTTAATTATAATTTAAAAATCAGGTTTAACATTTGGATAAAAATTTGCATTATGAATATATACAGGCCAGTGTAATTGCTCAGCATATTTGTAGTTCTGAAATTAAAATATATTTTCTTGTTTATAATCATAGCTGAAGGAATCCTATACCATGCAAAATAGAGATATTCTAGGATTCATATTTCTAATGCTGCATTTACATACTGTTGTATAAAGTGCAACATCTGAGTAAATTTAATGTGGTTGTTTTTATATCTATGATTTTTTTGAAAGAAAAATTATGTTAAACTTTGTTAGAGGAAAAATTCCTTCTACTTTCCTCCACTTGAATATATTTAATGATGTTTGTATATTTAAGTAGTATTTTCTGTATATTTTCTTACAGTTGAAGTAACATATGACATTACAGTGCACTAGTATAGAGCTCACTAATAATGCAAACAACATTTAACAGAGAACTTTTAAAAAGGAAGCCATCTTACATCATTTGAATGAATTAGAGAAATATGTTTTCAAGATCCATTGAAGACCAGAATTACAGTTTTTTGGGGAGGGGGTTCTCTAAGGAAACAAATAATCCTATAAAAGCAAGTAACAGCTTACAAAATTAATTAGCATAGATGAAAATTAAACATTGGTAGTCATCAGATGATTTGTCCTAACCTAATTAGTAGATGAACATCTGTACCGGAAAAATTATAGATCATATTACAACCTAGTTTAGATTTTCTTCCCTTTAGCAGGACAGGATGTTTTTGCTTGTTTGTTTGTTTTGTTTGTATTTGTTTTATTTTTCTGTAGTTACTTAAATGTATGAAGATGTATGGTAGTGAATTTGTGCATATGTCTTAAAAAAAAATTGAAAAGTGACTTTGTGTTTACCTGACATTTTAGAGCAGTTATCTGACTTTCACTTTATCAAGTGATCTCAAAGATCAATCTCATTTTATTTCAGTAGAGTAGAGTCATTCAGCAGTAGAGCTTCATGATTTGATATTCAACATTGATGTAAGATATAATAATACATGCATGTACTAAGTAAATTTGGTATTTTGCCTCCATAGAGTCACTGAAGGATCATTTAGGGGAAAAATTACTGAAACTAGTTTTTTAAAAAATAATTATTATTACCAAACTGATTGAAATGACTGATTGGCTTTGCATCAAATAAAGAAGGAATTTGCATTTTGGTACTATTACTTTAACTTGTACTTTGACTTAAGACATTTTCAGTATTCTAGGTTTAGAATTTTCAAAACAAGAAGCTCTAAATCTAAAATCTGCATGACTAATGGCAACCAAATTGTTTAATTATGGTCTCTTGTGTAGTCTGCATTCATAGCAGTGATATGAGGGTCTCCTCATTCCATTGCTGGAATTGTCTTGCTTATTTAAAATGTAATATTGATTCAAACAGGATTTTTAGCTTCTTACAATCTCTACTTCTAGAATTTCACTTTTTAAGTGTTGGCAATTAAAATTATGTTATTCATGAAAGCTATCAAACAATTTTGCAATAATTTTTTAGTTTGTTCAAAAGCTCAATGAGGACTTTTAGATATTTGGAAAATGATTTTTCTACTTTTACTGTATCTAACTTCAAAGATACATTGATTTATTTCAACAGGACATTCTGTTTTTAAGTAGGTTTATAATATGTACATTTTTGAGGTTAAATAAAAATAGAGACAAAGGTTAGTAAAATAAAGTTTATTCAAGTATACTTTAAATTTGGAAACATGAACTACTGTAGGTAGATATTTATAGAAAATATTTTATAAGCAATATCATATAACATAAGATTTTGTAACACTTTTTTTGAGTTGATAGAAATAATTTTTAAATTTTGTAGCACATGTGAAACATCATTAAACTAAATTAAAATATCAATTATTCTCTACCTCTTTGTTGATTTTTTTCATTGAGTCCCTTTTAAATCTCCTTCATATAATATTTAATTGAGACACCATATTCGGTGATATGCCAAGAAGTCTCTTGTTCCTTTGTGGAAACAAAGGTGAAACCCTTTCCTCTTCCCATTTCTGATGTAGACTTGCATGCTTTATTTTATTAATTTTATTTTATAGTTATGGCTTTTTTCTTTAGCTTTCTTCAATCCATTTTCAATCCACCAATTTGTCTCTCAATATGACAGTTCAGATTCTACACTATGACTCACCATCCATGATGCTGGAAATATTAGCGAATGGCTATGGCATTATGCCCTTCATAAACAACACTTACAAAGAGTCATATACCTGTCCATATGTTATCGGTTATTTAGGACCTGGAAAACATTTCCTATTTCTTCTGCCATCTCAATACCTAATGAAATTTCTGGTTCAGAAGTTTTCTGTGACTCTGGGACCATGTACTAATTCCTACAGACTAAGGACATTTTTCTAACACTAGTCTTTGCAAAGACTGTTAAGTTTATTGATTCCCATGAGGAACACTGATTTGAAGGTTTTGTATGTGTTTTCATTTATGCAGTTTCCCCTCCAATTTTAGAAAGAATTCTGTTCTCTGTGTCATGGTACTCTTTTATTGTTATTTTTAATGTACAATTGCTCCACAGCTGTGGATTTAAAAGAAAAAAAAATCATATTTAAAAAATTTTCCATGCGAGCATGGAACCTGATGCGGGGCTCAAACCCACAAACTTCAACATCATAACCTGAGCTGAAACAAAGTCAGACACCTAACAAACTGAGCCACTCAGACGCCCCAGAAAAAACATTTTAAGACATTGGTACTGCTCTTTCCAGTCAATGCCACTGTTCTAAGAGTTTAATGCAAGGGGCGACAGCCTTTCCAGAAAACTGTGATCAACTAGAAATTCCAGCGAACATGACATTATAACAAAAACTTATTCAGGGTGTTACCTTTTCCAGTTGTTCAGCAGAAGGGAGGAAAGTTTAAACTACTTAAAACTACAAGCTATTGACAAAAATCTAAGACTCATTACTTCATAGTAATTATTGCCAATCCTTTCAGCTTTTATAAATGTAGGACTAGAACTTATGAGAATTTTACAGTTAGAAATGAACTTAATATTTTTTTTACTTATTTTTTATTTTTAAAAATGTTTTCATTTATTTTTGAGGACAGAGAGAGACAAAGCATGAGCAGGGGAGGGGCAGAGAGAGGAGACACAGAATCCGAAGCAGGCTCCAGGCTCTGAGCTGTCAGCACAGAGCCCAATGCAGGGCTCTAATTTGTGAACCAGAGATCATGGCCTGGGCTGAGGGCAGACGCTGAACCTAATGAGCCACCCAGGTGCCACTAAACTAACTTAATACTTGAGAATTAATTTTGCACATATAGATGCTTACCTCCGTATCTTGACAAGTGTCCAGATATTAAGATGTGGAATTGTGAATGCAACAGTTGAAAGACCTAAGATGCTCTTTTTTCTTTTTTCCTCTGATGGGTGGTAAACACAATCATCAGTAATGGAAGCATAAAATATAGAGAAGAAAGTGCAGGAGAAAGGAGGAAATGTGTAATAACCCTATAGCTAATTTAAAGTAACTGTAATTAAAGAGGGCAGTGTGTTGAACAGCTCTCAGATGCACTTGCCCAAACCCTTATCACCAAGAAGATGTAGCAGAAATACATATTTAGAATGAAAATTGGCAAAACAGGTAAAATGACAGGAGCTATTAGCACCATATTCCCAAACTGGAATTATACTTTAGGATAAAGCAGCATTATAGATTAGCAGATCTGATCCTTTTACTATCCTGCCTTCTAGTACCTTCCCTTGAAAGTTCAGCATCCTTCACCCTGTCCCTGCTCCACATTTGGAACCTCTTTTCATACCTCTCCTTCTGTGGCCACCTCCCAATCAGCTTCAAGGTTGTCCCAAAGAAACACTGGGTACCACCCACCTGCGTTTACTCATTTTGTTCTCTCTTCCCAAGGGAGCCACTCCTTTCTCCTCTCTCAGCCAGAGCTGCTTTTGTTCCCTGTGATGTTTTTAGAGATGTGTGGGGATGCTTCTGGTTATTGCAGTGCCTGAGGATGTTTCTGTATTCAGTGGGCAGCAGGGTTCAGGCATGATAAATGTCCTCCAGAGCTTGGGAAATTCCTTTTTCAGGAAGAATTATCCTACTCACATTGCTACTAAGGAACACTATTAAGAAATGCTCAAAGATCTTGTCTTAAATGTCACTTGCAAAGGAAATCCTTCTTGATCCTT